CATTATTAGAAGAGCTATCTTAAAAAAATGTATAAATATGAAAGATAAAGTGGATTAGAATCTTATATTTAGAATCAAAATAAAAGTCAAACAAGATTTTATATTAAAAATCAGAAATAGCATCTTATTAGAAGTAATTTTACTTGAAATATGTCAAGTAAACAACTATAGGGGTGTTCGCATAGAAACTAAACCCTAATTTCAGAAGTGCTTTTACGGATTACGAAGTAAATATGTGGAGAAGATTATCTTATTTTACTGAAAAATAGTTTTGAAACTGTAGTTTTGAGAATAGCAAACAGAAAGCCTAGCTTGTTTTCCTAGACGCAATCTCATTAGTATTTTAGAATTGATGATATTCACACACAACAAAAAAAAAAAAGGGACCATTTGCCTAAACCCCCGTACTTTTGAAATGACATGGGTGACGGAAGAATTATGAGAGCTTTTTTTTTTTTGACTCAATATGAGAGGATTTAAACTAACAATGATTGTCGGTCATCAGTCAATCAATTGTCAATATCTTAAAACATGTACATTTTGACTGTTTGTTTCCAGCCGCCCGCGATAAGCTCGTTTTCTTAAAATAAAACCAAACTTTTCTTAAATTGTGATTAAAAAGTTACTGATAACAAAAATTATGATTGAAGAGTTAGTTTAAAGGCTCCAATCACGATTCTTAATAAGGCCCACGCAATTGAAGATTAAAAAAGAGGGGAAATTGGTAAAAAGTGTCGGTTTGAAAATTTTATTGAATGAAAAAACTTAAATTTATATAGATACAACTATTTTCAGCACGTACACCCTTTCTTTAGTTATGTGCAAAACATCTTCAATCATACGCAGATGACTTCTGTTTTGACAACTATTACACATAATTAAAAATAAGTTACACACAACTAAAAAAAATTACACCCATAAAAGATAGTTGCACTTGCTAAGTCTAGGTCCTTTTGACGAATAAAATTTAGAGTTAATAAAATATTTGATCCTTTAAATCTGTTTTTATTTTGGTTTTAGTCTTTTAAATTTCAAATTATAGGTTTTAGTCTCTTAAGTTTTTTCATTTAAAATATTAATTTCTATAATTTAATAAAAGTTTGAATTATTTTGTTTCAGAAACTAAATTTTATGATTTGAAGCTTGAAGAATTAAAACTAAAATGAGAATAATTTGGGGTTAGAAATTATGTTCACTCTAAAATTTATGAACAGGTGCTTTTTGCCAAATTTTTCTTGGAGAAAAGATGGTAATTAAAGTAAACAGATAGTGATGTGAAAAGAAAGATGAAAAACAGGGCGATGTTCAATGGCTTGTCCCCAACAGCAACCCGTGAGCGCCCCCACCACGGCGTTTCAAGTTACATCAGAGAGCGGGCACCTGTTGCAAAAGTTACCACGGCGTTCAAGTTTCAAGAGAGTTGGCCCATCGACCTACAATTTAGGTAAGCAACGAGGTTTTAGTATAGCCACATGTCGAGGAATTCTTGGATACTCCGAGAGTACCAACTAATCTAAACACTGCCTGGTAGAAACGCTACAGCTCATGAAAGTTTATTATACTGTTACGTATTTGGATGGAGAAAAAATTAAAAAAAAAAAAAGAAAGAAAAATAAGAGGAGAAGTGATTTTTTTTCCTGTTTGGACCAGGAAGAAAAAAATTAGAGAGAAAATAAAATACGTCCCACGTTTCATTTTCCTTCCAACTTTTCTTTCTATATGGGGAGAGAAAATAAGAAGAAAATATATTTTTCTTCTCTATCCTTACATATGTTTTTTCAGTAAAATAATACCTATTTTTTTTTTCATTTTTCACTTTATTTATTATTATCAAGTTTTTTTTCTGTATTTGCTTCGTTGAAAAATAAAATAACTAAAATTATAAAAATTCTTTTAAAATGAACTGAAAAAGAAAAATAAGTAGAGTTGTTGTTTTAGTTTTTTTAGCATTCATTACACAAAATGTTTTCTTTTTTCTTTTTTTTACAAAATTATTTGATATTAAAATATAATAACATGATAATATATCTTTATCAAATAATTTGATTTTAAATTATATGATTATGTTAATGTAAATATATTTTTTCATTATGATATCAAATTTGATTTTAATCAAGATATATTTTGATATAACAGAAACGGTATTTTAGTCATTTATATATTTACTTATTTTCTTTTTTATGTTTTCTTTTATCCATCCAAATATGAGAAGTTATGATATTTTCTTTCTAATTTTTTTCTCTCTCTATTTTCTCTCTTCTGATTTTCTTTCCCCTCAACTTTTCTTCCCATCCAAAATATAAAATTGCCTTAGAATGGTGATTTCCACTACTGCCCTCTTTTTCTCTCTTTCCCAATCCCTCTCCATTCATCCTCGGACTGTCCCTTCTCCCATCTGCTTCCCCACCCTTTTTTCTTTTGCAGATATTGCCGTTGGAGATTTTGAAACTGAGGAGAGCAAGGAAGAAAATCATCAAGTTCGAGCTTGATCTGTCTAGGAAGATTTGAGATCTGCAGCTGGGATACTTTGGCTATCATCCATCTGGATGGGACAAGAACATAGACCATTAGCAATGGCGAGCAAAATCTTCTTCATCTCCGACTTGAACCTATCCCTGTTAACAGTGCTGTTGCCGCCACCGACGAACTTCTCGAAGATGGAGTTGTATAGCTGAGATGGGTTTTAATTTGGGAAACCGAGACTGTGATTCCTCTTGTATTATTTCTACCCGATTTATATATTGTTTCTTCCTACCATGCCTGAGAACTTCTTCTGTTTCGTGAAGAATGGAAGGAGATGGGTTTTGTTCAACGCCATATCTTGCCTTGTACTATTGAAGAATGAACATGGAAGCAGAAAAAAAAATCTATCGACGGGTTTAGATATGTAACTTGCCGTCGTCGCTGGTGGAGAATCACCGGCGGCAGCGTGGTCTAACAAGAAAATGAGAGGAGGAAGAGAGAGAGTTTGAGACGGAAGGAAGAGGAAAAGGAGAGGGATGAGAGAGAAGGGGGCAGTAAGGGAAACCAATAGAGCAAAGGCAGTTTTATTTTTTTAAAACAAGAAATAATGGAAATAAATGGGATGACATGTAGATTAAACTTATATGAGTTGGCTCATTTTCGTTGGACAGAGTTTAGATTAGCTGGAACTCTCAGAGTAACTATAATAGAGAATTAATGTAGTATTATTGAAAAAATAGAGCATTAATGGATATATAAAAAGAATTCACGAAAATAAAAAAGTGGGCAATGAGTCTTACAAATAAAATTTGGAGGGGGGATTGGTGGGAAAAAAGTGAAAATTAATTCTTTAATTTTTAGAATTTGTTTGAAATGACTCATAAATAATTTTTCAGTTATAATTTACTAAATACAAGATAAATATAGCAAAAAAATTTCATTTTGACTTATACATAACATGTTTATAAACACTTAGCCAATCCAAGTGATGTCTTACACCGGCCTATAAAGTGACTTTAAGTTTGAAACTATTGGAAGTATTTTTTTTTCTTGTTAAGCATGGGTATCCTTCTATCAAAAATATTCTTATTTAAGATACTATATCATATATCGGATATTAAATATGAGTATTTTTTCCAACTGCTATAAGCAATTTAATGCTAATGTAATGCAAAAAACTTTTTTTTTCCCCTCAAGAGCTCAAAGTTATTTTTTGGAACGTTGGGACTTAAGTTTTGAGCCCACATAGCAACGACGTCTTTCCCATGCAAAGTCCAGAATGCTACACTTGACTGAGAGAATGATGCTTCCATTTTATTAAAGAATTTGATTTAACAAAAGAAGTTACTCATTCATAACATGTCAACTTAAAGTTTAGATCTCTGTTAAAACAGATACCCATATTTAATGCTTCATGACTCATAATCTTTAACAGTATAGTGCAAAATATTATGTAAAAATAATTACCAAATTTTAAAATAATATTAATATTAATAACTTCTGTCTTAAGTAGGCTTCATAAAGAAACTTAGAACTAAATACAATATATATTACAAGGAATCACAAATTTGCTATCAATTATGAACAACTACAAGTTAGAAATTAACAATTACTTTCTACGAAAGCAATTTCCAAATTTGTGTAAGAAGACCTAAAATTGACTAACAAATATACTGCGAGAAATAATAAACTTGCTTTCACTTATTAACAACTACACGATAAAATAGAGATATATAAAAAATGATACTATAAAACAAGTACTTCCTCCATTTGATATCAGAAGGTTATTTTTGTGGAATGTTATATTTCAATTTGTAAGACTACTGACGGATTTTTATGTCCAATTAAGATCCTCTCACCAAAACGCACGCTTTAAAAAATCTATATCAAAATTACTTGTTAAAAAAGTAATTATTAGAAAGAAATAAGACTTCACTTGATTTTTAAATAACAACATATTTTTGTAAAAAAAATTTATTTGAAATTTAGTAATTTTTATGTTCTTTTTGTGAGATTTTCCCAAAATAAAGTTGCAAATGTTTTTATTTAACGCAAAATTGGGATTTGTCTTATCTTCAGCAAACGACCATGCGTTTGCAATTGCAAGGAATGAAATGCACAAATTGGCTATAACGTGGCATGGCATGTCTAGAATTTTTTGACAGATTTTATTCTTTCTTTCACAATGGATACATTTTCGTTGATTCATTTTATAAAGATTCAATAGGGTTTTACGTTAGTTGTTGGAAGCCTAACGCAACTCTCCTCTTCCTCCCCTACTACCGAGAACAAATGCACCTAACAACCAAAAATTCTAAGGGCACATTCTTCAAGCTCATGTCTCAAGGTTTAGTTGACGGGATCATCCAAGAAGAATAAAGATGTCAAAGCCTTTAAGTTGGAGTCTCAACTTTTACTTTAAACGAGAGCTTGTTTTCATTGGTGGGAGCCTTCAGTATCAATAGGATAGCATTCCTGGTGTTATGCGGAAGACCGAAAGCAGTATTTTATGACTAAGCTGATACTACTCAAAAGAATTAAAAACATAAAAATAAATTTGATATTATGTATATATAGGACAATAGAATTGCCAAAAGACTACCAAGAATTGCAATGGCTGATGTATATTTGTATCAGCCATATCATGACTCTAAATTCTCCCTAATGCGAGAAGCTAGCCGTTTCACAGGTTTATCATCAAAGGAGCTATCAATCTCCTTGATCTTAGACACAAAGTCCATGGCTTCTTTATATTTCTTAGCTTTACAATAACCATCAACAGCAATCTTGTAAGTTAGCTCATTGGGCCTGCACTTGTGCTCAATCATATATCTAATAACTTCATCTACATCTGCAAACGATCCCTGGCCTGCAAAGCCTGCCAAGAAAGTGTTGTAAGTGAAGATGCATGGCCGAATTCCGCTAGAGGTCATCTCTGAGAGAAGTCTAATAGCCTCCTGCATGAGTCCTTGCCGGCAGAATCCCTTGATGACAGTGTTATAAGACACAAGATCTGGCTTCTGACCAGACTTTTGTATTCCCCTGAGCATTTCTTCTGCTTTCCAACACTCACCTTCTCGTGCATACAGGTCCAATAAGCTATTATAGGTAACGAGATTTGGCTGTAAGCCACTTTGATGAATAAGATTAAGCATCTCATGGGCCCTTATGTACATCTTGTTTCGGACAAACATAGAGAGCATTGAGTTGATTAGAACCAAATCAGGTTTGTATCCATTCTTCTGCAATTGCTTAAATGCCCTCTCCGTTCCTTTAAGCTCTCTGCACTTGAAGTTTGCAATTACAAGGGTTCTCAAAAGCATCCAACTAGGGAAAACATGACCGTCGTAAATTTGATGCTCAATCTTCTCTATACCTTTAACATTCCCACCCTTGGAGTAACAATGAAGCATTAATGAGAATGAGGTTTCATTAGGCTTGAAACCCTTACTCCCCATATCCAGAATGACGGATTCTGCTGCTCTCCAATCACCTCGACGAGCTAGAGCATTCAGAAGAGCATTATAAGTTGTCACACATGGAGTAAATCCTGCTTTAACCATTTCCCCATACATTTTGGCAGCATCAATTTCAGACCCACACCGACCATATGCACTGATTAATGTATTGAACGTATCTCTGTCAGGCTCAAATCCACAGTTTTTCATTTCCCTCAGAACCTGGTTAACATATTCTTGCTTACCTTTCTCACCACATACAGCAAGCAGGGTGTTCCATGTAATTCGATTAGGAGGGCATCCATTCAATTTCATATCACACAGAATATTTATCATATCTTCTGATCTTGACTTCTTGCCTAAAATGGCAAGAACTGAATTGTAAGTGCATACATTGGGAACACAGCCTAACTCCTTCATCTGGTTGAACAACTTTAGGGCCTTATCCTCCTTTCCTGCCTTACCATAGGCATTAATTACAGTTGTATAAGTAACAGCATTTGGCATAACTCCTTTATGGGTCATTGTATCTATAACAGCAGCCCCTTCATCATAAAATCCAGCTCTCACATATGCTGCCACAAGCTCATTGTAAGTAACAGAATCAGGTGGGCAATTATTATCCTCCATTTCTTTTAAGATGCTCAGGGCTTCTGAGTAAATCCCAGCCTTTCCAAATACTTGCAGCAAAGAATTATATGTAACAGTTCCCGGAGTATATCCATTCAATTTTAAGTCAGCAAAAAATTTTCTTGCTTCATCAAGCATACCCTCTCTGCCACAAGCCGAAATAACCGTGCTGCAGGTAAATTCATCATACTCGAGTCCTTTACTTTTCATCTCATCCAAGAGGTCCAAGATTGCGTTCCAGGAACGACCCATCTTGCCATAAACATCAAGCATGACGTTGTAAGTAACCAAAGTCGGAGAAATACCAGCCTCCTTCATCTTCTCAAAGACACCAATAGCTCGTTTATACTTGCCAGTTCGAGCATATGCATGAAGAATTGTTGTATAGGCCCGGACATCAAGTGAGTATTCTTCAAGAGGAATAATATCAAACAACTTAGATGCAATTGAATGCTGTGATTCCCTCCCCAGAATTCTAACCATGATTTCAACAGCCTGATTGTCCACCCTCATATTTTCAGAGTTCAATTGCAACGAAAACCATTCAAACAACAAAAGCGCTCGTTCCCAGCAACCAGAAAGGTCTAACGCTTTCAAGAGGCTCGATAAATCAACTTCGAGCAGCTCAAGCTTCGCAGAGTTAAAGAAATCATTTAAACTATTCAAGGGCTTCTCAACAATCGAATTGAGCATCAACTTACCCCTAGGAGACAAAAATTCAAGAGTACCATCACCTTCAGTCGGAAACTCGGTTTCATTGCCATCAATGCGCCTCACGGAAGCCGAAGTCGGTTCCTTTTTCTGGGTCTGTTGAGATATTTCAGACGAATGGAGGGGAATCTGAAGAGAAGCAGAGTGGGCATTACTTTCCTGTGCAGAACTTGAAAGCTTGAGCTTGTTAGTGGTTATGGGATTTGCAGAGAGGTGCTGAAGGTGTTGGAGAAGCGAATCCAAATGAAAAGACGAAGGAGAAGGAGATTGAGGAGGTGGCGGTGGAGGCGGAAGAAGCGTTGAATTAAATTTCAAAGTGGAATTTGGGTGTGTTGGTCTGTTTGGTTGTACAGGGAGTACAGGTCTATTAGGGAAGAGAGTACCCTCCATTATTACAAGAGAAAGAGATAGCAGCAGAAGAAGAAGACCAGTGGGCTAGCTGGGAATACGCACGAGAAGGAAAGCGATGGAAAAGAGAGTATTTTTGAAGGAGGAAGGTGGAAAGAAGGGGTAATCTGGTGTGAATGGTGATTGCTGAGGATGATATCTGGATGAAGAAGATGGGGTCTCCAACCATCAGCTGTTGATCATATTCCCCGTTCTGGCCTCAGCTTTCGACGCCCAAGCTCCACGCTTGCAAACTTGTTATTTTTATTTTATTTTTTTTCCTTCACGGCCTTTTTTTTTTGTTAATGTTAAAAATAAGTGAAACAATAATTCTTTTGTGTCCTGAACTGAAGCCTGAAACCATAATTCATTGCATCCATTATACAATAATATGATATAAAATTTATAAAAAGTTTATTCTAGAAAGATTACTGTTAAAGTCCATCTAAACAAAATCACTAAAAAGCCATACAACAAATCTTTACAAGGAAAATAAAAAAGAAAAAAATGACAGAAAAATAGTGTTTAAATTTTAAAAAATAAATACTACCTCCAGTTCTAATTATAAGAGCTAGTTGACTAATTTGATGAGATTAAAAAAAGAAGTTAAGTTAGTTATTTGTAATAAATAGATGTTGTATTTCCTTAAATATCCTTACTAATTAAATGTATTGGCTAAAATTATCATTATCAGAAGGACTATCTTAGAAAAAAATACATAAATATTAAAGATAAAGTGGATTGGGATCTTATATTTACGATCAAAATAAAAATCAAACAAGATCTTATATTAAAGACCGAAAATAGTATGTCATACTAACTACTCTTATAATAATTTTGGCTAGTCAAAATTTTTCAAAAAAAAAAAAGTTATGTAACAAATAAGTAGACAAGTTTTAATATGGAAAATAACAATACGTTTATATTACTCACTTATAATGCGATTTTTAATGATTAGATTACTTTTCTGTGATATCATGACTTCTTTTTTTTTTTGCCTCCTTCAAATACAACTCATGAAGGTTCAAATACTAAATTTTTATTCTAATTTTATGCAACTTCTTCTTACAACTTTATTTGCAAATTAGATTCTTCTTTTTCTTTTTTTACCAGTTGAAAATTAGATTTCGAAACCTATATTTTATATTAACATTATGTTTGATACTGGGTTTTCAGAGAGGAGGGGAGACTCCCCTTGTTTGTTTAAGATATTTTTTAAAGAGGAGAAGGCCTCTTCTCCTCTTCTCTTCCCTTCTAGCCTACCCTCCAAAAGTTGGGTTTTTTTAGAGGAGAGATGAGAGATAATATTTTAATTTCTTATATACCTTTTTGATTTGTTAACGCCTAATCAGTCGTAAATATTTCTACATAAGAAAGTTCTTTTTAACATTTAGCAAGAGTTTGTTGAGACAATTGTCTCCAAAATTTGTGAACATTTGTAAACCCCTTTTTTTCTCTTCTTCTAATTCCAAGAGGCCGTCGGTATTTTTTTTTTCACCTTATAGGTCTTTTCTTTAATTAAAATCTATCACTCACAACTTTTTTTATCTTAATATCTTATAAATGTGTGACTATGTCTTGTAAATCAAAATTGGTGAATTGCATTATATATATAATTATATCTTAACAAAATAAAAAAGTGAGAAAATGCATTTAAATTTTATGAAGTTAAGATAGTCAATTTTTTATTAGAACAAAATAAGGTATTATTAAAACTGCTCCCTCCCTTTCGTTCCAATCAACCCAAACAGGAGATCATTAAAATTCCTCCCCTCCCCTCCTCTTTGTAGCTACCCTCTCCTTTCCTCCTCTTCCATTTCCTTGATTAAAATCCCTTTCCTCCCCTTCCTTCCGTTGAGCCAAACACAACGTAAATATAAAGCAAGCTATGGTTTAGGAACATGATATAAATTTTCTGGCAAAAAAAAAAAGAGAACATGATGCAAGTCCTAGAATTTTCTAAAAATATTTTTAACAGTTTTAGTGAATTGGAAATTGTATGATTTTAAAATGGAAAATATACATGTACTTAAGAAAAAAAATGGAGGTAAGAGTATTTTGCTCTAATTAATTTTGTTGTTGTTGCGTGAGTTCTAGTTCTATTATGATCAAAGCAAAGCATACTTCTAATTAATAGTACTGGAACAGTTAGAAATGAACATAAAAATTATAGTAAGGAACTGTTTTGATTCAACAGTAAATTATCTAAATTTTAATAAATAAATTGTTTAAAATTAAAGCTTAAAAATTGAATGTGTAATCAAGGATTCCTTTTTTTTTTTTTTAATAACAAACAAATAAATAACAATAATAACGGTATAATAAACCCCTGTTTTAAAGAAGGGGGGCATCAGAGTTTGACAATAATAAGATGTTATCTGAAGTATTCAATTCAAAACCAGAAAAGAAAAGGAAAAAAACAAAACAAAACCAAACCTAATCAGAGCATTGATATCTTCTGCAATGACACTTGAGAGTACAAGTGATTGGAAACTTGTGCTCCAAACAAGGGAAGAAGAAGTTTTCTTTCTTTGAATCTCTGTGATCCAAACAGTCCGACCTTGCAGAAATTCATTTGAAAGAGAACAAGCATTTAGCATATAGCTTAATTACACATATTTCTCTTTTATTTTAAAAACTCAAATAAACCTTTCTTACTGTTAAAATATATGTTACATAAGTCTCTTTTACACATTTAAGATTCCGTTTCGATTTGATTCATTCAACCATGGGTAAATTTGACTTTTAAACTTTTAATACACCTCTTCGACATAAGAATCATTTAAACATTTATATTTGCAAAAAAATCTATGCAACCAACAATAATTCTAATATATATTTTCAAATTTTATAATATGTTATAAAATTTATTACTCTTGGTTATATTACAAAATTTTATAATTTAATAAACACATTTTTTGCTACAAACGTTTATAAAAAAATAAAGTAGCCTCTGGCCCCTGTAAGCAACTCTTTTCCTCTCTAATACAGTAAAATGTGTGAAAGGAAAAAAAAGGGTTGATACTAATTTATTGTATGTAAATTAGTAAATATACTTATGGTCACTTCCACTGATGCACTTGGCTTATCTCGTTCGAAGCAAACTCACAGCCTAGAAAAGAAAACAAAAAACAAAACAAATGCCACTTTGACTATTTCCAAATGAACAGACATTTATTACCTAGAATAAGGGCCTGTTTGGGTATCCCAAAACCGTGGTTTCAGAAGCACTTTTCCGTAAAACGAAATAATCTCCTTCACATATTTACTTCATAATCCGTAAAAGCACTTCTGAAACCATGATTTGGTTTCTATCCAAACACACCCTAAGTAGGATAAGATAAAGCGAGTTAGGGCTGGTTGGGGATCACCTTTATTAAGTGTTTACGAGAACCTTCACATAGACTGAAATACAACATGCTGGTAAAAAAAAAAAAAAAGACTGAAATAGAACATGCTGGTCAAAAAAAAGAAAAAAGACTGAAATAGAACATATTTATAGCAATTTCGATGCTTTAGTTTTAAGAATACAAAAATCGATATGTTGAACAAGCATTTAAATGGAAAAACAAATTTTTGTGCCTCTCTGTTATTATTATTTTTTTTGTTTGGTAGACATAAGTATCTTTTTATTTATAGAAAGCAATTTTATTTAAGACACTATTAAGTATTAAAGGTATGCGCCTCTATGAGTAAGAATTTGAACTTTAACTCACCACATTGTGAGAAACTAGTCTTTTTCACTAAACCCAACTCCTATTGATCCTCTTTGTTATTACTATTTTTTACTGCCACATCTGCACATCTATTCACGGCTACGGCCATCGTTTGTTTTTCCTGACGTCTGCCAGCCATCGAAATGAATTAGGAATTTGGGATAATAAAGAGTAAATCAGTAAATAAAATTTATTTTAATAAAAAATATTTTCATAACCTTTTCAGAATGTTTTTAATGGAGATAACAGTTTAAAATTAAGTGCGTATATTTTCAAAATAGAGAAATGAGTTTATAATTAAGACAAAATAAAAGGCTAGATAAAGTGTTTTTGGGTATAGAATTTAGAGTATCAGTAAGATTTGTATTTTTTTTATATTCTTCCGATTCTAAATATAAGACTCATTTTGTAGTGTAATTTACACTATAAAATAGGTTTTTTATTTAAAACCAGAAGAGTACTACGGGAAAACATTTAGTAAGATTTGTGTTTTTTTTTTTTGACCAGAAAAGTAAGATTTGTGTTAAACCTTAATCACAGTGCAAAATTAGATATTCCAAACTTGGTCAGTCTTTAATTAAATTTTGATTCTTTTTCATCAAATAAAGTGTCTGCAATAGGGTCTTATCGTTTTTCGTTGTCCTGCAAAGTGATAATGATAAATTTTAAACACTTTTTTATTTGGGAAAATGACAAAAAAAAGACTGTTGAAATTTGAAATCACAAAATGGGCATGCAAATAATTGAAATGACCAAATGGGCATGAGGTATTAATCTAGAATTTTGTCAACTCGGTAGAAAAACTAAAATGCCCCTGAACCTCTTTGAAGATATGAACTGAAAGAAAACAATAATATACCATAAGAGAGAGAGAGAGCTGAGGAGACGAAGATAGAGCAAGGGTCGAAATCTGGAAAGAGGGAAAAGGTAAGCAATTTTTCCGTTAAAACGCTAGTATCACCTGATTTCTTGACTCGCTTTGTTGCTGCATACTAGAATGGGGATGGGTTTGTGAGTGTAGAGGGTTTGGATGAAGAACTTGACCAGGATGAGAGAGTGACGCGTCAGAAATGGAAAAATGGTGGCAAACAGTAAGCATGAGGTGGTCAGTATTGTTAAATTCATTAGTGAAATTGTAAAATCCTATATTTAAGTTGTCAATGGAGTAAGTGAGTGTGTGTGTTTTTTGGGTGTTTCGAAAGATAAATGAAATTGATTATTGAGAAACTAAAATATTGATTTATGCTTCTTTGTTGCAGGTTAGCAGGCTTTGATGACATCTAACATTGAGTCTAACATTGAGGAGTAATTTTTTTGGTGTAAATAGAATAACTTTTGAACCCTTAATTTTTTTGGGAGAATAGTTGATAGAGAGGTTATCCTTTTTATAAATGATGTTAACTGGGTAGGATATGTTTGTAATCTGAATGACAAGGAAACATTAGGTGGTGGTTTAATCTT